ATGATGTTTTCTATTAAAATATTTGACATCCGTGAGAATCCCTGTGAAATAGTAATTCTGCAGACTCCCATTAAGTTCAGTTTCCTTTTGTTTTGTTTTCTTTCATGTCACATCACTAACATCAACAGTCACATGGTCCAGCAAATATTTAGACTGAGCTTATAAATGCCTTAAACTTTGTTCATGCAGAATTTGAGTGGCATGTCACTGGATTAGGATTTGCTGTTTTGTTTCATTGAATTTATATCAATGGGGAAACCATTTCCAAACTTCTGCCCTATTTAAAACCTGCATTGTAGCTTGGATAGCAAGCCAGAAGAAGGACGGAGGTTCCAAACTTTAGAGCGGGAGTGAATACTTGTTACAAAATTAAGTACTCTAAAGAGGATGTTATTTATTTAATTAAGTGTTCACTGAAAAGGTAAATACCAAAAATTCACACTGTTTTCATGTTTAAACAAAATATATGGAAGAGGATTATGACCACTAAAAAAAGTCAGAATTCTGAGGAAAAGAGTCAATTATTTTCTTCAGAGGCCCTAAACCTCAGTCGCAAAATGCATGAACAAAGATGTATGTTAGTTATGATACTTATTAATAGCAAGGGTTAATAACTACATCAGTTTGAGAAAACCTGTCCGCTCTGCAGTTTCTGCTCTAAGATGAACGAAGAGTTTCTTGCATGTTTAACTCGTTTCAAGTCGTCCCAGAGGAGCTGATGAGATTCCATTCATCAGCTCAGTGGGTGAACTGGTTTTAAATCACTGTCATGCTGCAGAGTCCAGTCCAGCTTTTGCATCAGTATCATATGCAAACCATTACACTGCCACCTCCTTGCTCTCAATTTAGTCTCTTATTTTCCCTTGAATTCTGTATTTATCACAAATATTTCCACTGTTTTGGTGTCCAAATAATTCAATTTATTTCCAGAAGTCTTTGCCTGCATTTTCTGTGGAAAACTACCATGAAAGTTTCCCACAGAGAATACATGACTGTAAAGCAAATCATATAAGCCAGTGGTTCCCAAAGTGGGAGGGGGGCCCCAGGAAGCGATATGGATGAATGGAAAAAAAACCCAAATAGTTACACAAAAGTGTTTCACTGAAAAGATGGTTTGTAGTTTGTTTTGTTGCAACCTGAAGTGTGAAATAAACTTCAGTGGAGTTTGAAAACAAAATATGTGTAAAGGTTTATTTCTGGTTGAACAATATGTGTGCCCAGTTGATTTTTTTTTCATTTTGAGGGGTTTACTCTGATCTTTGGGAACCACTGATATAAGCTATGGCAAGAGCTTGCAATGGCCCCTTTGATGACAGTTGTGTTTTTTTGTATACCAAGCATCTTGCATTCTTGCCTTTAGGGGGAACTTGCTCAGATGGTTAAACTTTGTTTTAAAAATCCTCCATTTTCATAGTGAATGGCTGGGTTTTTTCCAGTTTTTTTTTATTTTTTATTTTTTTACATCTTTTACCAGTCTCATAAACTTCTACACTCTTTTTTCTGAAGGTCGTACACAAGTGTTTGATCTCTCTTCGAAAGTTAAACATAAACTAGATCAACCGACAGTTATGGTCACTGTCAAGAATTTTAGAGACTGCTTCCTTCAAAATGTTTTAGCTTCCTTATCGTAAAGAAACGCATCACTTGTGAGAAATCCCCAGTGTGAAGAAGTTATCTGTTCCAGGAAAATAGCTGGATTCTCTTCCTTCAAGATTGCCATCAGTACACAGCAACCTTCACAATTATTCTCACCCTTTGTAAAAGATAAGCCCCAAACAAATGGAGACTATGAGCTCTTGTCCACTTTCTTTGATGTTTTTGGTATTACTATTATTCAATAGTATTCTGACAGAAAGGAGAGAGCGAGAAGGGGAGGGCATGTAACAAATGACTTGGGAACTGAACCTGGGTCAGCTGCGTTGACGACTGCACTGTCTGGGTAAACACCGGTTAAAGGGATCTTAAAAAAATAATAAAAAGTCTGATTCTGAGTCTGGAAGCAAAAGATAAAGACAAAAATGAAAAAAAAGAGAAATCTTTTTCTTTGTTTTGAGAAAGTATTCCCACCCTAATAAAATTTACTGGGAAATTTTAATAGAATTTTATGATGTAGGTTGAACACAGCATTATTACCTAACCTCTAATCTATTATCCATTAATGAAACCCTTTGCAACCAGTTTCCCCGAGATCACAAACTGACAGAAATGAACCTCCAGCGCATTAATCATCATGAATTCTTTTTGAATGAGTGGCACGAAGGCATTCACATTTACATTTTTTATTTTTACTGTCATGCAAATCCATGTGTGAAAAAAATTCCCTAACATGGTACGGTAGTGACAGCATCATGCTGTGGGAACAGAAAAGCAGGTCAGAGTCAATGGGATGATGAATGGAACCAAATATGGACAAAAAAATTGAGATTGTGAAAAACTTGAGATCTGCCAGCAGTTCAATATATCACTATATGCTAAAAGGTTGAGGCATAAATTCAGTTGATAATCTGTTAGGACCTTCCAAGATGCTCTGCATTAAATATGACAAAGCAAAGAAGTATGAATGAAAAAATCTAAAAACCTGGTTTCCTCAGAAAACGTCCCGTAAAGAGAAACTTAAATTTCAGTCTGATTTTAAATACCAGTAGATTCACTTGTGATTACAGAATAAAGAGAGCCACCCACAGTCTCGCCCAAAGCCGGGGCCTGCTCCAACGCAGCACCCATGAAATCATTACATTCCCCAATTAAGACATTATTCAGAAGGAATATTCCCCTCGTTTAAGAGTACTAATTACGTGATTAAGATTGATTGCATAATCTCAGCATAAGCCTGAGCTCTGACACGGAAGCACCTGTTGCCCTCAGATCTGCTCTGGCAGATTTCTAAAGATGGTTTCAGGTTGCAAATCAGTTCAGGGTGGTCTTAAAACAGATAATTTGGCTTCAGGGGAAAATGATCTTAATGATATCATTATTCCTAAGCTTTATTGGATTTGCACGCTCACCCGAAGGATACAAGTGAGATTGCATCCTCACCTTCTGATGTTTTGAGTCATTCACACACCAAAGGCAGGTTGGGACATTGCACAAAGACCAGAGTGAGGACACTCACGACCAATGCACGAAAAGTGGTTATGTGTGAGCGAGTGTGAGTACGGCAGGGAGTGGAGGAAAGAAAGGTGTTTGTGCCTGACTGTCGTTCAAGAGTTAGGACTGCAAGAGAGAAATGAATGACTGGGGAGTATGTGGTGAATAAAACTGTCCTGTAGCTCGGGTCAAGCTTTACTGTCAACATTGTTCCTGTCCAGAAGGTCCAGTGAGCAACACTTTTTGTACTTGTGCATGTTAACCGGAAAGGGCATCAGTCAGTGTTATCATTCCTCCTCCTGATTCAAAGGGTCAGCAGTCTAGACAGGAGCGATAGGGAATTAAAATTCCACTTCCAACACACACACGCAAAAACATGATCAAAGAAAATGTGTGTCCCGTTTTTATTCACTTCCCAGAAGAAGCCTGAGTGATTTTTTTTTTCTTGGTGACGATTTTGTGCCAGTAAGCTATTTTTCCTACAAACATCACAAAATCCCATAATATTTGAAGCTTGCAGAAGTTTTTCCATTCTCCATTTAACTTTAAATAATAATTACTTGTGTGAGTGAGAGTCTTACGGCAGCACGCAGAGTTTGAATCACTTTCTGCAAAAGCACGTGATGAGATGAATCAGAAAAAGCCTGAGATCATCTCGCTGGCGGTGGTCTGCACAGTCGGACTGATCCAGTTGCTAAAAACTTCCATTGACTACACAGTAGTGGTCAGAAGACACACTGACTAAACACACAGGCAAAGATAAACAAGGGAACATTCCAGCAACTTCCTCAATTTCATCACTGCTCCTCTTCCATCTGGATGCTATTACACTGAACACTCTGCAACTCTCAGGAGAAGTACACACAAGAGTGAGACCCACTCACTGATCTCAGTTTATTAGCATTATAAATCAAAGGCACAGAAAGTCAGTGATGTACCAAATTAAGACCAGTAAATTATCTTCTGTGTTTGGTATAAAGCAGGTGAGATGCAAAGCTGCACAGTCAAATTAAAGCTAGAGAAGGAAAACTTTTGCTTTGGTTAAGAAGGTGTATCGTCCAGGAGTGAAGTACTAAGCCCAACATATTTACTTTTCACAAGTGGAACATTATTGCTTTCACTCAAATGCTCCACCTGAGACAGACAGATATATATACTTTCGGTTTACTTCAAATGCAATGGACACAGAGACAGAAAAGAAAGAGAAAGAAGTACAGAAAAAAGCAAAGAGAAAGCAGAAGAAAAGAGAGAATACATCCAAGACTGCTTCTACACCTGCACAAAAAGAGAGAAACGTCACAAAATTGAGAAACCACAGCGACAAACAACCTGATCATATATAAAAGCAACAGTCACTGAAAGCACCTGGTACTAATTAGCACAAGATGTGCTTCATGGCAACCACATCCTATATAAAGTCTTATAAACTGTATTTTACTTCTTTTTTAAAGTCTTGCTACTTTTGTTCGAGAATATTTTTGTGTAAGCCACCCACCACTGACAGAAAGTAAAGTTTATGTAAATTTTATTTTGTAAATAGGTTTTATTTTTATGCTTTATTCAAAAGTGGAATGTAGTGAAACAATTAAAATGAACTCCTTGTTTTTAGACTGTTTTTCACACTGCAGAAAAACAGTCTAAATTATTATAACAAAACCACATTAAGCTAAAAATATAAGAAATGTATTGTCAGTGACAAGACTTTAGTTTATCATCCTGAAACAAAATACAGTCAAGCCTCGACGAGGCGTCAACATACATTAGACCCAGTTGTCTCTCTATTTATTAGGCTTGTGCGCCCTCTACTGTCACCTATAAACTTACACCCGCTCTACTTGTAGCGACCCGCTTTGCCTGGTAGATGGCGGTAGTGAGTAAACTGAAGCCATCAAACACGTCACAAAAAGGAAGAGGAAGCAGTCAGAGGAAGCCGTCTGCCTTCCTGTCTCTGACAGCCGCGTCAAAGACAAAAAAAATCACTAAACAGGCCCAATTAAAGCTGAAAACCGTCTCCCTCTTCAGATTCAGATCTTCAAATAGCATCAGCCATGTCGAAGAACACAGTGTCCGCCCGTTTCAGGCGGGTGGACGTGGATGAGTACGACGAGAACAAATTTGTGGACGAGGAGGACGGCGGAGAAAATCAGTTGGGACCTGACGAGGCAGAGGTGGACTCCCTCATCAGACAATATCCTTTACATTACAACCATGCACAGCGGGTACTTTGACGGTACATGAAGGATTAAGCGAATAATTGATACGATGTTTAGTTTTTTACGTGTACTTCCATAAGTTTCTGCTGCTGCCCGAATGATTAGCCTGCTAGCAAAACTGTCCAGACTTGCCTGACAGTCACATTCCAGGGATTGCTGCTCCAGCTTCTTGAAAATTTCCCCTTCAAGTAATTTTTTTTTCTTTGCCACATTACAAGCACAAACCTTAATGCATTTTGTGATAGACCGAGACAAACTAGCGCTAAACTATGAAATAAAAATTGAAGAATCTTAAAAGTGTAGAAAGTATTTGTTGTCATCCTCTCTGGGTCTGTGCATTGTTGAAGCACCAGATGGAAGCCTTATAGCTAAATAATTTCACTCTACAGTAGCCGAACAGTGATCAGGTTCTGATGTCCCATTAGGAAAACGTCTAAAGGATCAGGATTATATATATATTTATGGTGCATGTTTATAATTATTATTTTTAGTGTGTGCATCCTTAACCTTCCATTCACAGGGAATCTCATGGAGGCGTTACATGCAGTCCTGAAGAACCCACCAATAAATACAAAGAATCAGAACGTCAAGGTTACTTGCTTCGATTTATTTAAATAATATTTTTGTAAACTTTGAAACGATTGCATTTAATCATAATGCAATTGATTGGTACACTGACAGGAAACTTGTGTTTTTATAAGCTGAGATGTTTTTTTTTTTACTGCAATCATAAAATTTAAATTTTGAGTTATAAGTAGAACTGTTGTCAAAGTTATTAATGGCATACATAATTATGGCATCAGATTATAGTTGGTGTTGCTCAGAATTGATCATTTTAGCATTGCAGCAGCATCTGAGTTTTTGTGGTAGCTGTGTTCTGTAAATGTTCCTCTTTCCTGATCAGGATCGAGCTGAGGGTCTAGTGCTGAAGGTGCTCAGTGCCTTCAAGAGCAGCGACATCGAGAAAGCGGTGCAGTCGCTCGACAAGAACGGGGTAGACCTGCTGATGAAATACATCTACAAAGGCTTTGAGAGACCTTCAGAAAACAGCAGCGCCGTCCTGCTGCAGTGGCATGAAAAGGTAAATATTCCCAAACTATTTTGTAGCTATAAATTGTTTTCCGAAGAGAAACAGAATGTCTACGTATTCTTGAAAAGTCTTCGGAACCACTTAAGTATCAATTCTTTCACATTATTATGTGTGCCATCGCATTTAAAATAGTTTTATGTAATATTTCCATTTTTAGTCAAATCAAATTTTGTTTTGATCGTCTGGAAGACAAAATTTTCTAAATCATCAGGAAAAAGCAGGACACTTAGAAGTTTGTGAAATGAAAGCATGTAGTTTGTTTCACTTTTTCTGTTCAATTACTAACATAAAAAATATTTTTGATAATATCCAAATTTAATGAAACACATCGGAAAAATCCTATTAACTGACTTGTCAAAGATTTTTTACAATTTGTTAAAGTGGAAAAATGTGCAAGAGTTAATCTCATGATGTACATTTGTGTTGTTTTCAGGCTCTGGCTGCTGGAGGTGTGGGCAGCATCGTCAGGGTACTAACGGCAAGGAAAACGGTCTAAAAGCAGACGGTCACATCACTGACATGCTGCACTGTTCCTCTACCAGAAGGCATTGAAGCTGAAAGGAAAACCAGATGTTCTTTTTACCCACTGAGATGCTGATTTACTTGAGGCAAAAATGTAGGACTTGGAAATGTGGATCAAAGTGGGTTTGAAAGCTGATTTTCTTTTTTTTTTTCCTTCTTTTTCAATCATCACAGCCTAAAGTCCTCACAGGGTGCTAAAAATACCTTCCTACTACATCTATGTGCTGACCCCTTTCCACCAGTGATTCCCAACTCTGAGATCTGGGTTTGTAAAAAGCAGATCTGCATTTTAGCAGATCTGCTAAAATGCTAAAATCTCTGGTTGCTCACCAGCATTTTAGCAGAAACGCTGGTGGAACTTCAATAATCAAACCTTTTCTGTTCATATTTCTTCTGCATTATGTTGTTTTAGCTTCACATCAGAGTGAATAAAAGCAGTAAATCCTCTGAGTGTAACACTCGAGCCGTGGGCGTCTGCAGAAAAGCACAGTTACAGATGGCGGGTGATAATATGAGCGGGTCGGCATTCACCCTGGGGGGCAGCTGGGGGAGGATTAATACCCACGATGCATCTCATGGTAATCCCACTTTGCAGTTTTCTCACATCCATATCCTCCCCTCTGCTATTGAACAGGGCTTTGTGTGGCTAAACGGTACTGTTTTCAGGAAACTATGTCGCAATGAGAATATTTTAAGATTAATTTAACCTTAAAAAAAATTTGCATTATTCCTTACTTTGTAATTTTCCTCATCCCCACTAAATTGAAATAAAAAAAACAGTTTTCCACAGAAAGCTTTTCTGTTGCAGATTAGATTTTTGTTTTGCCGTACATCTAGAGGGGATTTAATTGAGCTGTTTATAGTCTGCATGATCCCATTTTTTAAATTTAAAATTATATGTTTCATACCTGTCTTTTCTACATATCTTGTTTTGACACAAATTAAATATTTTTGTGTGTTAAGCTTCAAGTTAATTTCCTGCTTTACATGTTTTAAAACATCCTCTTGACTGTCGATTCTTTAAAAACCAGAAAGTAACAGCAAGACTGACTAAAGTACATTTTATAAGATGTTTTGTCTGCCTCATAGGGTAGACTATCTGTTGCCAAATCCTTTGTTTTTCTTTAATCTTAATTAAGTAGCCTACTTAGGTGGCTATTAGCTGAGCTTGTGTATCAGATGCAAGGTCTGTTGTGATTCAACATGTTGCAGTTTTGAGAAAAGCCTCCTCAGTGTGTAAACACTCAGTTTCATCCAGTATTTTACTCTCTGGTTGCTATTTGAATATGGATTATGTTTTAATTTTGTAATCAATTATGATGCATCCAAACATTAGGTACAGTTTCTAATGCAGTAATAAGACTTGACATGAAGCCAGAGTTGTCTGATGAGTTCCTCTGCTTTATGTAGTTCTTTTGTGATGCTCTTGAAGCCTGGAGGTGAGAAGACAAGGAACAGAGCAAACCTATGTGCTAACTGCCTTACTCAAATGTTTCTTTTTTATGTTTGTGCTTTTTTTTTGGAAACAATAAAAAGTATGACTGCTGATCATATTTTCATCTTTGTGTTTTTATTGTGGTTTATATAATTAGCCCACAGTTCCTATTGGTTTAGGAAAACATCTGAGAATTGTCATATTTTTACGGGTCGCAAGTGCATCAGACTCACTCAGAGGAAATTCAGATTGGCCAATTAATATTCTCACCTTAATGTCTGAACAGCCAAATATTTTATTGTCATTCATGAAGCAGATTTTGCCTTTCAGCTACATTTTCAGACTTTCTTCTGTACACTTTAATAGTTTTCTGCGCAAACGTTAATGTCCACATTTTTGCAGATGATCTGGTGATGTTTACAAACGCAAAAGAAATGCCTAATGTTTCTAAATCAACATGGATGAGTTTTTATGTCTTTTTTTTCATAAAAACTAAGTTGTTTTTAAACTTCTTTGAAGAAAAAAAAGAGGAATTTGTGGTATTTGTTTTGGTATGTGACACTGATTTTGTTTGACACAAGCAGAGAAACAATATCAGTGGTGTGGTTCTTTTTTCCAATATATTGAAAGGGTTGAAAAAATATAGATTTTTGTCCAAAATGTCCATATTTGTGCATCGTGACAATGATCATCTTAAAAATTTTAAATGCATACATCAGTAGTTTGTGTTGCTAGGTTGACTTCTGCTACAAGTATGAATATTTTATTTGTTCAGTGTAGTTTATGAAATTTTTATTACAAAAACTAATAAAATTAGGAGAGGTACTGCATAACAATTATGTACAGGTTAAAATAAAATACATCCCGGTAATTCCTGGAGAAAAAAAAGTTGCTGATGGAGCAGTTTCCATGACAACAAAACAGATGAAAACTACCTGGGAACCTCTAATTCCCAACATTAGCACCATGCATCTCTAGGAGTAAATGAAGTTCAGTTGTGTTGATGTTCAAGCACTTTCCAGTAAAGTAATATTAGGTATTTGGAATTACACTTTGACTATAAGGAAACTGACCTTATAAATAATATCTGAATGATGTGGGAAAATGTTGTCAAAATATGAAAAAACTAAAATAATCGATTCTTAACAGACTGGCAGAGCTTATAGGGATTAGAGGAAAGGATCAGTTTTATCCTCGTTTCCTCAGTCTCTTTCATATTCCAATTAATGGTGCATCCATACAGAACCGTCAGAACTGCAGCTGCTTACTGTCCTTGCAAAACACATAAATCTTTCAGTCTTCATATTGCGGTGGCCAAAAGTCCAAACACCACATCACATCACTCTCACCACACTTGTTCTGCAAGCAGAAGGCGCATTTCAACCGCACATCTTCATCTCACGTCATTTAAAGTGCTCTCAGTAAGGGTAGGCAGAGACAGCGATGTATACGATGAAGGTCGTCTGGTACTCGATGGCACCGTCCTCGCTGTAAGAGAGCGCTCGAACCTTCATGCGGTACGTGTGCGGCTCTCGTAGCGGCCGCGTGGTGAACAAAACACCCTTCATATTCTCGTCCCGCAGGGCGAAAGGCAAGGTGACATCCTCGTCCACCACCAGGAAGGTGGTTCTGGGGTGCATCACGCCATCCTGTGTGTAGGCCACCAACCTGATGAGATCCTGGTTGGCTGCGATGCCAAAAGGCAGAGACAGCAGCTTGTACTCCAGCGCATATGGACTCAGTGTACACTCCAGGTCGTTCGGTGGGCAGTCCTTCAAACAGAACCTACAAGGTGAAAATCGTACATGCTTGATGAAATTAGTTTTGAATTTGCTGTGAGACAGATTTGACTTTTTGATTGCCCATTGGGACATGAATAAAGATTTGAATCTGACTGTCTACCCTGTGGCTGGGTCCCTCTGGTAGTTCGGAGGACATGGTGTGTCGATGCACTGGTAGCTTCCTCTTGTGTTGAAGCACATCCGATTTACTCCACATTGGATGTTCTGCTCCAGGCACTCGTCTATATCTGTAGATATAGCAAATGATTCATCACTGTGTGTAGAGGTCATTTCTCAATCCAATGTTTTAGTTTATTGTTTAGTAAAAAAAAAAATCACAAACTTTTGATTCAATTGCAAAATCTTTGGATCTCTGTAACCCCTAGATTCAAGAGATTTAGGGCTTCACCTTGACACGTTTTTCCATTAGCCATCAGGCGGTAACCAGCAGGACAGAGACACCGGTGGCTCCCTGGTGTGTTCACACACTCATGCTGGCAGATGTCCCTCACTTCACACTCATTGATATCTATTGGTGCCACACAAAGAAACACAAAATACAGTTTTCTTCTCTATTTGTAACAAATTTAAAGCATCAAGTAGCATCAAGTCTTTAAAGCTTTTCTGTCAACTCTTCTCCGTCATATCAGCATTGTCCGTTCCACATAGTTACCTAAGCAGTGGCCAGCCCTGGACTCAAAACCTTCCTTACAAGCAAGGAAATCCTGCCTTGAGCGGTGTTTGTGAGCCTCTCTCCGGTTACGGTGCATGTAGCGCCTATTTGTGGCAGTGAAGGAGTTGTAGCTGTGAGAAGCAAAGCTGTGGTACAGCCGCTGGTTGGGCACTTGTTCAGGAGAGGATTGGGACGTGCGGTAGCCGTATGAGTAACTTTCGTAGGTGGGTAGACGCTCCAGCCCAGCGCAGGACTTGCCATCTCCCAGCAGGTGGCGTCCTGGTGGGCAGGTGCACTTGAAACTACCAGGAGTGTTGATACACTCATGGGCACAGGGCTGAGGGAGCCGCTCACACTCATTTATGTCTGCCCTCAGTGCAAAGAAAGACCAGCACCAGGAGAAGATGGAAGTGACAGGAAGAAATATAGGAGGGGAAAGAGAAGAAGAAAGATAATGCACAAGTGAAGAAATAACATATCAGGAGTAAAGAAAGATAAGAACAGAGAGGGGAAAAATGGAATATATTATTAACCTCACTGCATTATAGTACATTTTCATGTTTATTGAGAAATGCTTTGAGACTATGCAAGGAATCGACAGGTAGGTTTGAAGGTTGGATTGACAATGAAATTTTCCATTATACTACTCTGACAACACGAGACTAAAGGGCACTGCCTATTACTCAGGGAATTGCTCTTCTGAAAATAAAGCAGCCATGCTAAAAGTCTGTAGCAGTGTGACTGTTAGGCAGAGTGCAGGATAGCCAACTACGCTGAATAAAACTGACACCTGATTTTAGCTTTCAGTTTCTATATATGAAACTAGACATGTCATTAAAAAAACGTAGGATTCGTCCAGGTTAATACAACACAGTTAATATGGAACTGAATGCCAAAGCAAAATCAGACAAGAGCTGTGTCCAAATGCAAAGGTGACAGAAAGGACAGAATTAGAACAAGGTGGAAAGAAGAGGCATACAAAGAGCAGTGGTGCTGGTCTTTTCAGATTATTTTTACATTCATTATTTCTATTGAAGTGCTAAGAGTTGCCAAATTTCTCAACAAAGACAGTCAACTTGATCTTTGATTGATAAGACCTGGTTGTATAATTAAGTCACATGACCAAAGCTAAGAGTTACATTTACAATTAAATCAAAATTAAAGATGAAATAAATCTCTTTCTGATGCTCCATCCTGGTCACTTTTGTGCTTTTGCCATTCACAGCTTTTCATACACATGAATGACATGTGGAGAGGAGGGTTAGGAAGGCACACTAAAATACTGTGAAGAAAGATGTGAAACGTGTTGAGGAAGATTAAAAAGGAGTCAAAAAATAAAGCAAACGAAAACAACTGCAGTTCAAATCAATTGTAAAATAACAATAAAAATGCTGAAAAATACTCAAGAAAACAGCAGCTTTTCCTTCTAAAAATGAACTGATAATATGCAATTTTGTTCTGCAAAGCAAAGCAGTTGCTTTTTGTGAAGACTCAGTCAGCAGTTTTCATAGCAGCGTCTGGAAACATGCAGTGGTTGGATATGGTGTAAGATGATTTTTAAAATTGTCTTTTCATTTTAGTTTAAATGAAAAGACCAACTTATAAAAATTGCAGACAGAAGCACAGGAGCTTTAGCAAAGTGCAGGAAATGAGCAAATCTGACAAATATCCAGTTAAAAAAGCCTGCCATTATGTTGCAGGTTTATCTTTCTTACATTCCAAAATGCTTTATACAGTTTCTTTGTTTCTTAAGCTGGGAATACGACAATATTTTTACGTACCGACACATGGGCGTCCTACTCCCTGAGATCTGAAACCACGTGGACATGTACAGTGGTAGCTGCCTCTGGTGTTCTCACAGATCTGGTTGAATCTGCACTGATGTGTCCCATCTCTGCACTCATCGATGTCTACAAGCAAGAGACAACAAAGGCATAATCTTTGAGTGCTTATTTATGTTTCCTCGTTAGCTGATACCGTCTATCTTGAGCTGTCAGTCACTCACCCACACATGTGCCGTTCCCACTTTTGGTCATGCCACTCGGACACAGATCAATGCAGGTGTAACCACCTCGCGTGTTTTTACACTGTTGATCCAAACGGCAAACCCTCTGCCTGCACTCGTTTATGTCTGAGACAACATAAGACAAGAAAAAATGGCTTAGACATTAAAAAAATATTTTTTCCCATAAAAGATAAACAACTGCTTTGCTTCTCACCACTATGGTTCTGTTTTTAACACTTATGTTTATAATCAAGAGTGTGTGCGTTTCATGGATACTCCGAAATCAATCATTGAAATCATGATTATACACGTTTGTTGACTGAAAGGAACTATTTCTGTTGACAGAAACATAAAGCTTTGTATCATGAGCGATGCTACATAATGTGAATCTAGATGAATGCATGCATGTAGAATAAGAGTGGCCAAAGAGCAGAATCCTGAGGAACTCCACCTGAACCATTTGTTGTTTAGGATTCCAGCTCTAATCATTTATGTTTTGACTGGTCTGATGTTAAACAGGGTAGTTGACTCACCTATGCACCGTCTGTTCCTCAGCTGAAAGCCTGGTTCACAGGCACAACGATAACTTCCTATGGTATTCATACACTGCTGATGACACGGCTGGGTCTCTAAGCACTCGTCCAAATCTGAGGATTATA